CTTTCATCATTATATTGAATGTATTTCACACAGTACTTAGAAGTCCAGGGCTGGATTCAAAGAGTGTCTTTAAATCTCAGCTCTGCTACTTACCAACTTTTGATCTTTGTAAAGGTACAGACTCTCTGGGTTTTCCTCCTAGTGCAATGAAAATACTGTACCCAGCTGGCAGAGTTGTTGTAGGGTTTAAAAAAAATGATGCATATTTGGTTAAGAGCTAGTAGGCATTGCGGTGGCCATTATCGTTTTTGTTATTGTAGCCCTAAGTAATGTTTTTGCTCATGCTTGAGGCTCAAGTCCTCAGTTGGTTGCTACTAGTTGGCTTCACCTTCAGTGCCTTTTGCTCTTCGTTTTAGGCAGCTGCTTTGCTTTCTTATCATCTCAGAAGAAAGGCATCTGTCTTACCCTGGGACTCTTATAGTCCTGATGTCATTCTAATACCACTTTTCTTACATAGACTTGTGTCCTAATTGTGCACTTTTAAAATTTAATTTAAAACGTTTTATAAATTGATACTTTACAATTCTATATATTTATGGGGTACAAAGTGATATTATGATTTACAAAGATAACATGGAATAACTATATCATGCATATTACCATATCCATCGCTCAAATACTTCTTCTTCTTTTTTTTTTGGTACTGGGGATGGAACTTGGGACCTTGTGCTTGTGCGGCAGGTGGCAGCATCACTGAGCTAAGTCCCTGGTCCAATCAAATACTTATTTTTGTGGTAAGAATATTTGAAAATTATACTCAGCAATTTTGAAATGTACAACACATTATTAGCTATATTTATCATGCTGTAAATAGATCTCAAATAACACTTATTCCTCTGGTACTCTTTGACCATCATCTCCTCAGTTGTCCCGCCCTGAAACCTGTGTAACCAATGAGTTCAGTTGTTACATATTCTACATATTAATGACAGCATGTGGTACTTGTCTTCCTGGGCCTGGCTTTTTTCACTTAGCATTATGTTCTCCGGTTCCATCCACATTGTCACAAATGATGGAATTTCCTTCTTTTAAAAAGATGATAGGGCTGGGGATTTAGCTCAGTGGTTCGGTGGCCTGCCTTGAAAGCGCAAGGACCTGAGTTCAATCCCTGGCATCAAAAAAAAAAAAGAACAGTATTCGATTGTACATGTGTACCATGTTTTTTAAATCCATTGTTGAGCACTCAGAGATTCCATAACTTGCTATTATGAGTAACTGACTTTTTTTGTGGGGGGCAGTGGCCCTATTCTGTGTCATTATGACTTCCTGGGTGCCTAGGTCAATGTTTTGTATGTGCTAATATTTATATAATACCAAGTCAACAATAGCTCAGTGGTGGAGGTAGTGACTGGCCTTTTACAGAGTACCTTCCTGCTCTGTAGTGACAGTAACTGGGGAGTGTCTGTGGGACACATGGATGGCAAGAGAGAAAAAGTCAGGGAAGCCATGCTTGTTTAAACTTCATATGCAGCCACCTCTTATGCTTGTTACACAGAATTTTTATGTTAAGTGATACTTAGCTAATCTCTTTTGGTTATAAATGAGATGTTTCACATTTGTGTAGAGAAAGGATTTTGTTTATTTATTTATTTATACTTATAATGATTTAAAAGAAAAAAACCCTAGCAATATGATTTGACTTATAGGCTAGGTTGCTCTGTGCTTGCTTTCCTAACCTTGGTATAACATTGTTAGTAGTGTAAGACAACAAATGATTGTACATACATTTTTAATTGGAGTCTAATTGCATGCGATCTTTAGGAGAAATATTAGTATTCCCACGGGCAAACAGACTCAGAAAGGGCAATTTTCTTTGTAAGTGGAAAATTCAAAATACAGACCCAGGATTTTGCCACTCTGATATGCTCATACTAGCTGTGTGTGGTTCACACTTTGTAATCCTAACACTTGGGAGGCTGAGGCAGGAGCATTACCATGAGTTTAAGGCCAGACTGGGCTACATAGTTATATCCGGTCTCACTTCCCCCCATTTCCCCAAGGAAACAAAGATCCTCATGTTTTCCACTTTACTACACAGGTCCGTGTGAGGGTAATTTTCCCTAAGTGGATTTACCAACATGTTTGAATTGGCGGTTCCGTGTAGACCCTGCCAGTGGCCACTTAGGCTTTTCATGGCATCTTCCTGAGCTTTCCACGTAGGTGGAAGGGCAAGCCCTTACCCTATGATTGGGAATGGAGCCATGGAGAAAGCTTCAAGAAGCTTTTTTTCCTTTTCCTTTTTCTTGTCCTCCTGTATTTGGAGTAGTAAGAGAAGAGCAAAAAACTGCTTCTTTTATCTCAGCAGCTCTAAGACCTGCTAGACCTGAAGATGTGAAGGTGAGAAAGGCACCGCGATGACTATGCTCATTACTGTGATGTGTGAAGAGCTTATCACCTGTCGTCAAGGCCTGGGTGACTTCTCCCATTTCTATAGATTTGTAGAATTCATGATCTCACACAAATCTTCACTTTTCAGTTCTCAAAATAAGAGGTGGATAGAAGTGTAGAGTGGATTAAGCCGGTCTAGCAACATCAGGTACAAGGGCTCAGCACTGACTCTCAAAGGGTATAATGTTTTACATCTGAAAATGCATATGGAGATGTAGTATGGATGATAAATGCCAACTAAAGTTTCAGTACCCTGTCAATGTGAGTGTGTTGTTTTTGATGTTCTTTGGCCCTTAGCTAAATTGCAGATTAAAGGGCATAGAAATTATGTTGAAGGTTATTTAGTATATCCTCTTGCTCACAGACAGAACAGAACCTTGGAAGAAAGTTGATATACGATGAATGCTGCTAAGTCATGGTAACTGCCCACAGGACGCAAAGTACCAACAGAATGAAGTAAGGTTAATGGTAAGGGGTGAAATCTGCTTTGGTAATGAAGTAGGAAAGCTTGTTATTTTCATCTTTTAAAATGAGAGACAAAAATATTGATTTTTAAAAAATGGATCTGCACATTCTCAGAGGTAATCTCCTGTAACCTTTGGATTGTTGTCAGATGACTTTGGGTGGTTTGTATATTTTTCTAGAGAGGGTTAGGTCAAACTAATGAACAACTAAATTCTGAGTGTAATCCACTTTGTAGTGAAATCATAGAAGAAACCACTGACACACAGAAACTTCTAAAGTCTGGGACCCAGTCAACACGCTGGGCACAATAGTCCTTGGTACAATACTAGATATACTTAATGATTCAACCAGATAGACAAACTGATATAACTCATTAGTGCAGTCCAGAAAACAGTTGGATTTTTCCTTCAAATTGCACTGAAAATAACCAATTCAACTACATCAACAGTACTGGACAAATGTTTGTGTTATAATAACATCCCCTCAATGTTTTTAATATACTTTTTTTTGGTATCGGGGATCAAACTTGGGTCCTTGTGCTTACAAGGCAGGCAGTGGAACCATTCAGCTAAATCCCTGGCAATGTTTTTAGTATTAAAATATGGTAGAACTAATTAATATTCCAACATATACAACATGGATACCTGTTGTGTAAACTCAACACAAACAAATGGGAAAACATGAATAATTTAATCCTGAATCCAAAAAGAAGTGTTTTTTTTTTTGTTTTTTTGTTTTATTAAATCAGGTAACAGATTCCTTGGCCAGAAATATCTTGGGAATTTGAGATTTGGTCTATGCAGTTTCAAGCATATAAATAAAAGTAATGTAAGTCCCTTCTCTTTGAGTAGTAAAATTAGTAGTAATTTAGTTTTTATACTTTTATGTAGTTTCAAATATTCTACAACAAACATATTACTTTTAATTGGAGAAAAGATAATTTTCAGTGGTTAAAAAAGGAACAGCTGTGGCTTGATGGCCAGGAAAACATTCCCAGTATTTGAAGCAATTTGGCAAGGGCTTGGAGGCAAAAGACAGAAATCTGACTAAATTCATGGGGCTTGCCAGATGGCACGAAATAACCACCAGTGTTCAGTTGTGTTATAATTATAATACACTATCTGTCACTTCTGCCGGTTATCTTTTTACAGGAGAAGTGGCAACAGAATGTTGTATCAAGATGACCCAGCATTTGTTGGGTTTATGTTGAAATGAAGAAACAGAATGGTAAATCATTTAATAATGCTTCTGGGGTATGAGAAATGGTGGGAAAGGGTTGATTACGAGTACAATTACGCAAATATTTTTGTTTATTATGTTCTGGAAATGCCTTAGTTTGACTGACCTTAATTGGGAATTCAAAGAGAAGATACGTTCTATTATCTATAAAGTCAGGACTTGCTCAGAGAAACACTGTTTCTGGGGTCATGGTTTAAAGTGTTTCATTGATCTGTTTTCATGCCCAATCGAACACTTCAGAGGCTCCATTTACCCTAAACATCTGACTTGTTGAGTACAAACTCATTTTAAGTGTGCTTTTAGCCAGTACCTAGATTTGATGATTATATACTTGTATTCCTTTCAGATATATTTATCTACACTTATTCTATAACTCAGGGTTTCACTAGTTTTGACCACCTCTCCTAATCCAAAACCCAAGTCACTGGATTTTTCTGCCTGAGTTTCCTGCTATGTTAGTTTACTGACCGAGATATACAAAGCACAGCTTGCTGGGCTGTTTTGGAAGAAACTGTAGACGAATGTGTAAACTTGTAGCTTAGCTGGAAAGTATGTGTAGCAGGTGATTGGAGGGACAGCTTTCACTGCTTGGACTGAAGTCAGTTTTGAAGGAGTGCCTATGGCATTCTGGAATGTGTGGGTGTGGGGTGTGGGTGTGCATTTGTGTGAGTGCAAGGCGGAGAGCTAGCTCTTCACGTTTCAAATAGTTAAAGATATGGGTGGTAAAATGAAGCACATCTTTTTGCACTTACATATGCTGAACAGGGAGAGCAGCCAAGTGCAGCATTTATTTGTTAAAATCAGTTTTGGTTTATGATGTTTTAAATATATTTTGGAGATATTCATAGAGATACAAGATAAATTTAAAATCCTCATCAGTTGCAATAAAAGTCGACTAGAAACAGAAGATTTTTAAGTCCAGTGGTATTAATACAAATGGACAGCTCAAGGAACAATATCTTAGTCAACACATTGCTCTGTCTCCTGCACACGGAAGGCCTTAAACCTTTGATGGTTATTCTTTGAGATGTTTCATCAGTGACGCCACAGTGATTGCCACCTCCCTTGGACTACTTTAGACACTGCCCAGAGGCCAGGAGTCCAGACAGCCTATGAGACAGCAGGAGTTGGAGCCTCAGTTGGAGAAAGCAAGGAGAAGCCTATTGCAGTCAAGGTCTGTCCTTGACCTTCAGGTAACACAGGATTTTATGCTCAGCATAAAGTGTGTATGTGTGTGTCTATGTACATGTTGCAAATGAGAGAGGAATGCTTATATTACATAATGAAATAGGTAATGATCATTTTACATGGTATTAAGATGTAAAGTAAATTTCTCTTTGGTATGCATTTTCACTCTTGATTTTTACTTTTTTTCATGTAATAAAAAAAGGTCTATTTCACATCTTCTTGAAGTTTCTAATAAAGAAATCCAATGTTAAACCCTTCATACAACTGATTTATGGAATTTTGGTTTTTAGTTCATTCATTTGGCAATTTCTTTAGATCACATAGAGAGATCCTGACTCTAGGGAAGGTTTAAAATGAAGCCAAAGCTGAATAATTGAACACTGCTGATTTGAATTTGTATAATTTGGCTCATTTTTTAAAAAGGGTATAATTGTGTGTGAAAGTAAAGTCCACACCTTACAGTTAGCATCTATGCTGATTGGATTGGCTTCTTTGGAAATTCTCACCTGAACTCTTTAGAATTTAATTCTTTTAAAATACATAAAGCAACAAATACTTAAGGTTTCCACAAAGTAAAAGAATTCATAAGAACTGTGATGATAAGCTTGTTAATTCAAGAAGATTAAAAAATGTGGAGTATACAAAATGTACACACTCATGCAACAATTATAAGATTGCACATGTGTAACTATCACTCATCAAAAAAGATTATCACCACCACTCCAGGAGTCCATTCACCTCTCCATCTGACTTCTGCCCCAAAATGTTGGGATCATCTTGTCCTTCCTTTCTTTAGAGTCTGTACTCCTGCACAATATGATTAAGTTCCTTGTTTTTAACTTTGTAGAAATGGAATCATATTTTGTTTTTTTGTAAATCCTTTTGTTCCTAACAATTATATTTGTGAGATCCACATCTTGGTGAGTGTTACTTTATTAGTTTATGTATTTTCTTTGTTCTATAGCATTTAAATGCATACATACACCACAAAGTATATCCCTTTTACTGTTTATAAACATTTGTTTCCAGCTTGGGATTCTTTTGAGAATGTTGTGTACATCTTTGTATATGTACACTGGAGGTGTGTACTTGAGCATCTAGGGTAGTACTGTATTGAAATTTTTAGATATGAAGAAGAGCATTTTACACCTTAATAAAAAATGTCAAATTGTTTTTCATAGTAGTTGAAAATTCTCACTAACTTTGTTTAGTCAGAACAGTTATTTGCCACAATAACTTATTCTCATAATAGTCCTATGGAGTATTCTAGTACCACAATTCTGGAAATTAGTTCTAATTTACCATTTTTAGCTTTGTTTCTAACTTACTATATGTTATTATACAAACAGCCCCTCCCAAAAAGTCAGTTTCTCAATTGTAATTTTGAGAAAGGTAAAAATCATAATACTTGCTTGAATTGTGAAGTAACCTGAACAGAACAAAAAAACAGCTTCCAGCAGCATTTTGCATTTTCATTCCTTTTGAATATATGTTTATTCCATGATTCTCTTTATGTAAGAACTTAATCTAATAAACAGATTTGGTGGGATAGTTATTTTGCTTTCCCTGAATTGGGATTTTTTTTTTTAATCAACAGGGATTCATAGTTTCTGCACATCTCTGCATTTGTTGAGAACTTACCAAAAAAAGTGGGATCAAGGTTGATTTTGTTAATAAGTTCAGAAGGAAAAGTCTATCTTGGATTCTTTTTAAAAATTAATTTTATTGGTACATTTTAGGTATACAATATGATGATATTCATCATTGGGAATTTGTATCTTTATATAATATATCTTGTTTCTTTTTTCCCCCATTCCCCTGCCTACTCTTCAACCCTCCCACCCCTCCTTATTTACAAAGACCTTGTTTCCATTTTTTCTTTCCTCATTTTTTCCCTCTTTCATTTCCCCTTCCCCTCTGGACCTTTTCTTTGATTCTTGTTTTTGATCCTTAGTCCTTTGTTTCCAGGCTTCTCCACTGGATTTATTCTTTTTCTTCTATTTACTTTACCCTCCAAAAAATGTTTATAAATACTTTCATTCCTCATTTATTATTTCCTTCATACTGAAGGCCAAAAGAGATAAAAATTACAGGGGAAATAAAACAAATGAATAATATTGGCTATATTTTAAAGTAAGATTCAATAACCTATTGGTTGGCACCATCTGGTTTGAGCCGGTGTGTTATACTAACAAATATATACTACAAAATCAGTTATTCAGCTGGAAATTGTGAAATTAATAATTTGGTCTATTGATGATATGGTAAAAATAGTGATTATAGTTAATTTTAGATGGCAGAAAATACCATTCCTGCCAAAAACTACTTATAAATCTTTCTGCCTCTTGAATTTCTACCCTTAGCACAAAATATCCTTTATACCTAAACATTTTAATTTCACTGTAAAATTTTGTCTTAAATATCTAAAATATGTGCCTCCCTAGGATTTTCTAAAATATAGAAGTTCTGAAATTTAAATGGCATAGACAAAGTGCCAACTACACTGCATCACTCAAAGCAATCATTTGATTTACTGCATTGCATATATTCTTGAAGTATGATTTCCTGCACGTACAACCTGTACACACTCTGAAGATATTATCCTTGCTCTTTCAAATGTTTACAATCTAGGCACATCCTGCAGCTGACTAAAAATAGCTGGCACAGGCCTTTGTTGAGATAGAAATACCCATGAGGTTAACACTTGCTGTTTGGACTGAGTACTGCAATGTGAGGGACTTTTGGTTGACCCTGGTAGGCTCTGTGCCCAATGCAGTCTTGTAAGAAGCCCTGCAGCTGTTGAACTACTTTGAGCTCTCACCAGGGTTTGATGAAGACCTACAGCAGCCTGAAGCCCGAGGGATTATAGTGTCCAAATTCTAAATGCAATTCAAAGCAAGAACAATACCAAACTACATTTTAAAACTCTGGTATCCTTACTTGCTGATACTCTATGAATAAAGTGAACATATGCACACATACACAGAAGTTGGAGAGAGAAAAATGTATATTTTATGTTTTATCAAAAATCTCAATACAATCATTACACAAAAAAATAGGACAAAAATGTTGGTCTTTATAACATCAAAGAATCTAGCCTCTGTGTTAGTCAAAGAAATACACCTAACAGCATGTGTGTATCTTGTGTGTGAGTGTGTGTGAGTGTGCGTCCAAAGACAGTCTGGATGCTAATTATTGGAGCTCATGGTATCACCAAGCTTTGTGTCTTTTAAGGTTTTTCTCCTTTTCTTTTTCTCTTCTAACCGCCCCCCTTCTTTCTTTCTGTACCAGGGATCGAACTCAGGACCTTGCACTTATAAAGCAGGCATCGGCAACACTGAGCTAAATCCTCAGCTCCCTTTTTCCTTTTTTTGAGAATGGCCATAATCTCCCTGTGTTTTTATGTTGTTACTCATGGGTTTGTCCTAATCTTCTTTTCTTACAAGGATATCAATCATGTTAGATTTGAGTCCACCGTAGGGACCTCATTTTAACTTAATTACATCTTGAAAGACCCTATCTTAAAATACAATTACATTCCTAGATACTGGGTGTTAGGACTTCAACCTAAGAATGGTTCAGTCCCAATCAAACTCCTTTTTTCTATACACTTGTGTTTACTTTGAGGAAAGATTGAGCATTGTCTTATGGAAATGCTCATTAATCTTCCTGTACTTTCTTTATCACTTTCTGTTAGGAGGTGAGGATAACCTGGAAGTCTTTGGTGTGCCCTCAGAAGTCTGCCTGAAGTTCTCACCCAGCCACTCTGATGATGGAGAGATCTACCCGGGAGCTGTTTCTCAACTTCACTGTTGTCCTGATTACAGTGCTCCTCATCTGGCTCCTTGTGAGGTCCTATCAGTACTAGAGGCCATGGCACACTCCTGGGATTGACTAAGATGCTCTGGAGCTGTGCCCTGAGACCTCACTGCTGTCACTGTCATGGGATGCTATTCTCGGCATGCCCAGGCCCCTCTGACCTGCACTCTGATGTGCCCCAGCACTAGGATTGATTGTGTGTTCTCTAAAGATGCTGCTCTCACTGGTTGCCAAGTGTTTACCAGTAAGCTTTAGATTTGTTCCCCAGCTCTTACTGCAAATGTGTTAGACAAGCCACAAGGTTAAAACTGGATTTATGAAGATGCAGAATTATAATAAGCCCCTGATTTGTCTCTCCACACATCTCTCCACCCCCCACGGTCTGTAACCAAACTCTAATTTAACTACCAGAAGAAATGTTAGAAGTCTTTGTCAGACTCTCTGGTTGTCATGTGAATAAAACTAAGTCAACCATAAAAATAGCTTTTAGAATTTATTTTAGCTTTTCTGTGTGTGATACAGCATTTGACCCTTGGCTGGGATTGAAGTGACAAATGCTACAATATTTCTAGCATTTGAGGTAAGCCAAGTTGCTCTAACTGCTAAGAACTTGAAACCAAGTCAAGTAAAAGTGTCATATTTCAATTAATCCCATTGCTTCGCTGCTCCTCAAGTTTTCCCCTTAACTAGTCCCAAGGGAAGGGCAAGAATAAATGCATTTCCTTTGCTGTCTAGACCTCCTAAAGTGCCCACTACAGGCTTGAAGTTTTAAGGGTCCTAATATGGTTAAAATATATATACACATAGTATTGTATTTTGAAAGGTTTCCAACAAGAGTTGGTAAACAGCAGTGTATGGTCCTGAATGTCCCATCCTGATTTTGGAGTTAAACCATACATGTGGATGTGCAGTTGTTAATGACTGAGAATGCAGCACGCCACTCAGGGGTATGTGGCGCTCAAGCCTTTGGTTAATGTTTAGCAGGCCTTATTTTACCTGAAGAAAAATTTAGAGAATGTATTCCTGTTTGTGTGTGTGTTTGAGAAAGTTCATGTGTGTTGATGTAGATGGAAGGAGTAAAACGAGTAACACACGATTCCCTTCAGACATTGGAACATCTGCTCTTTCCCGGAAAGCTGAGTCCAGGGCCCACATTTACAAGAGGTACCACTTATTGAGCCCACTGTTTGTGAGCCTTATATGAGGTACTTTAACCTCATGCCATTTAGCAGGAGTGGGAACTGAGGGTCAAAGATCCGAAGTGGTGTAGCTAGGATGACAGCAGTATTATTTTAACTATTGTTCTAGATTGCTTTATTATTGACTAATAGAAACCATTTGATTATGTTTTAAGTTTTATCCTCATATGCTTTAGTATTGTATCTGTCTAATTAGATAAGGGTAACAGTTGTAATTCTCTATGTAATTTCTCTTTGTTTTTTAATCTTTACTTCCTTTCTTTCACTAACTTTCTGTGACTGGATCTATTGATAGGATCCATTTTCAGACCCCAGGATGGGCCACCTTGTAGGGCTAGTGCATTCATTAACAATTTCAACTGTGAGGCTAGAAATTATTTCTAATATCTTCCACAGGCAGGAGTCCTAGTCATTTTGGCTCAATCTTAGTCTGACTCATAAGTATCCTTTTATATGTAACCTTCCATGGGACCATGGGTACTCTGAATCATTGTAGTAATTTTGCTGCTCTCAGTGTTGGCCCTGCTCACTCAAAAATAACATGGTTACCATAAGCCAAATGCTAGTTCTTCTCTAGTACTAGGACCCTGAATCCTGTTGTTAGTAAGTTCTAGTGCATACGATTGAGCCTACCCTAGCTTCTCTTTCTTTAGGTCATTCATTCATTTAAGAAGTACTTATAAAAAATTTATGTTCTGGACATTATGTTGGACAGTGGGGATAAAATGGCTAATGAGGCACAGAGTGCCTCTCCAACCACTGGCAGTAGTCATGCCACTTAATGACAGATCACAAGGTTCTGACTGCATCTCTCTTTCAAGCTGGGCCACTTCTAAGATCCTGTGCCAGCATGGTTCACTACCTGAAAGGAAGTTCTTGCCTCCACATCTGTGTTTGAGAGCTTTGACACTGACCTTGGACCACTGGGGCCATCTTTATCAATAGTAGACAGACTAGTTTTCCCCGCTTGCCATCTTACCTATTGAGTAGCTCTCTGTTGTGATATTCTCTTTTTGACATTTTTGTGTGGAGTTGTTCACAAGAGCCAGCTTTTCCCTTTCTTGGACACTGCGATTTTAAGGAGGAGCAGTTTATTTTCGGTTCACAGCTTTAGAAAAGGTTTCAGTCCATGGTCAGCTGGCCCTGATGCAGAAGTTTCATGGCAGAAGGGTGTGGTAGAGCAGAGCTGCTCATTCCATGGCAGCCTGGAAGCAGTTCATGGGGGGAAGAGTGCAGTGCCTGTAAGAGTGACTCCAAAAGCACAGGCTCAGGGACCTACCCCCGACTGGGCTCTACCTCCTGACAACCTATTGAGTCACGAACATCAGCGGATCAGTCCACTGATGAATAAAGAACCCCAAGGTCCAGTCAACTCTCCTGGAGAATCTTAATCCGGTCAAAATGATGACTAAGTTTAACTGTTGCATATTACAATGCAAACCAACCATTTCAGTTTTTTAAAATGGATATCTTGCTGGCTTATGCTTTTCTTTCATTATTCTCTAAAACTCATACTAAATTGGACAGCCTTTGGAACATCTACTGTTTTCAACTGTTCTCTCACATTAAAATAATTATACATTCTTTTTATACATTTCTGTGAGTCTCAACTATATCTGGACCCCAATTCCTCTCCCCAGAGCTATGGTGTATAGTTATTTCCATAAATCATAAAAATGGTTCAGATAATTCGTGTCCCTATCCATGATTCTAAAGAAAGAGCTCCAAAGTACTTCAACACAATCAGCTTCCAAAACGACATTTCCATCTTTGCTCCTTTGGCCCAGACAAGGATGTGTGAAATGGTTATAAAAAAGGTAGCATATCCATGGTCCTAAAATCTAATTTATGGCTCTCAAACAATGTAGAAGGGATCTCAAGGTGACAGCCCTCATTTTTATTTATTTATATTTATTAATACATGTTTTCAGTACATAATGATTACATTTATTGAGGGGAGTTGGCAAATGTGCAAACTACATCTTAATTCTTTTTTTCATCCCATACCCTTCCCCTCCTGACTTTTTTGAGTTCTTCTTTTTTTTTTTTTGGTACCAGGGATTGAACTCGGGTCCTTGCGCTTGCAAGTCAGGCCACCAAACCGCTGAGCTAAATCCCCAGCCCTTGAGTTCTTTATGTATTCTAGATAGTAGACATTTGTCTGAGAAATGCCTGGTAACATTTTTTCCCACATTGTAAGTTGTCTCTTAGCTCTGTTGGTGGGTTGTCGTGCAGTGCAGAATCTTTTTAAAAAGGCGAGATCCCAGTTGTTGATTCTTTGTGCTAGTTCCCATGCTACTGAGGATTTGTTCATAAATTTTTTTTTTTTTTTTTTTATACTGGGGATCAAACTCAGATCCTTGTGCTTGCAAGGCAGGCAGCAGAACCACTGAGCTAAATTCCTGGCCCTCTTCATAAAGTCTTTTCCTATGCCAATGTCTTCAAGAGTTCTATGTAAGGCTGGGCATAGTGGTGCATGCTTGTAATCCCAGCACTCGGGAAGCTGAGACAGGAGGATCGCTGTGAGTTCAAGACCAGCCTGGGCTACATAGTGAGCTTCAGGTCAGACTCAATTATAGTGAGACCCTGTCTCAAAAACAAACAAACAGCAACAAAAAAAGAGTTCTATGTAGCTTATCTTCCAGCAAGTTTAGTGTTTCTGTTTTAATATTTAGATCTTTAATACACTTTGAGTTTAGTTTAGTACATGATGAAAGATAGGGGTCTAGTTTTAATCTTTGGCAAGCTGAAATCCAGTTTTTCCAACATCATTCATTACAGAGGCTATCTTTCCTCCACTGAGGATGGCTGGCTCCTTTGTCAAAGATGAGGTAGCTGAGTACATCTGGAGTCTTTTCTGTATCTTCCAATCTATTCCACTGATTCTCAGGTCTATTTCTTTGCCAGTGCCATGCTGTTTTTAACACAGTGGCTTTGTGATATAGTTTCAAATTGGGAATTGTGATACTCCCTGCCATGTCTCTGTTGTCTAGAATGGCTTTTGCTATTCTAGGTCTCTTCTGGTTCCAAATGAATTTTTGCATTGTTTTCTCTAGTTCTGTGAAATATACTGTTTGGATTTTGATCAGTATTGCATTGATTTTGTATAGCAGTTTTGGAAGTATGGCCATTTTCACTGTATTGTTTGTATATTGATATAGAAATCTGTCCATTTCTTCTGTGTTTTCCATTTTATTAGAGCACAGGTTCTCAAAGTATGTATTGGTGACCCTCTGGAATTCTGGTGGATCTGTCATGACTTCACCTTTTTCATTGCTAATCGTATGGATTTGAGCCTTTTCTTTCTTTTTTTTGATAAGATTGACTAAGGGTTTATTGATTTTATTTATTATTTCAAAAAACCAACTCTTCATTGAGTTTTATATCATTCTCTTAGTCTTCATTGCATTGATTTCTGCTCTGATCTTTATAATTTTCTCCCTTGTATGAGCTTTTGGTTTGTCTTGCTCTTCTTTTTCTAGAAGCTTAAGATTCATCATTAGGTTGTTTATTTGAGCTCGCTCTGTTTTCCTAGTGTGAGCATTCACTGCTCTAAGTTTCCCTAATAGAACTGCTTTCATTGTGTCCCATAGATTCCTGTAAGTTCTACTGGCATTATCAGTTATTTGTAAAAACTATCTAATTTCTTCTTTAATTTCCTCTGTGACCCATTGGTTATTCAGGAGAGTGTTATTCAATATCCATGTGTTTGTGAAGTTCTCATGGTTTATTTTATTATTGATCTACAGTTTAATTGCACTATGATCTGATAGTATACATGGGATAAATTCAACTTCTTTGTATTTACTTAAACATGTTCTGTGAGCTAATATGTGATCTAGTTTGGAGAATGACCCAGGTGCAGCCAAAAATAATGTGTATTCTGATTTTTTGGGGTGGAACACTGCAGACATCTGTTAAGTCCATTTGTTCACAACTTGGTTCAGTTCTAGCATTTCATTGTTGAGTTTTTTGCCTAAATGACTGTCTATTTGTGACAGTGGGGTATTTAGGTCCCCCACTACAATTGTATTAGTGCTTATTTGGTTTTTAATGTCCCTTAATATTTGTTTTGTATAGTTGGGGGATTAGCATTTGGTGCATATACATTTATGATTGTCACCTC